TTTTGAGATTCGGAGGGGGTCTTAGGTCTTAGTTTTTGAGATTCGGAGGGGGTCTTAGGTCTTAGTTTTTTGAAATTTGGAAAAGGTCTTTGTCTTAGTTTTTGAGATTCGGAGGGAGTCTTAGGTCTTTCTCTCTTTTGAGACACCCGCTAGGGGCCGCGCTTTTAAGTAGACTCTCCCACATTTCCCCTTTCCCTGCCATAATAACTTAATGAATTTGATCTACATCTCATGGCAAACGGTACTGTATCGATTGGCTGAGAAAGATGCACCACACAGTACCCTACAGTTTTTAATGACTATCACAATGAAAGCTCTTACACTGTACACCTAAAGCCCTGGGTTTTTTCGTGAATCCAACTATCTGATAATTTAATAATACTAAGCGATAACTAGGTTGTGACATGCCTACTCATTCGTTAAATTCAGTCAGGATATCTCATTCATGCAAGCATCTGATTGATTATTCAAGTTATTACATGAGGCTGAAATGGCTTCATATGAACCGCAACAGCCTACAACTTTCTAAAATGGATATTTTAATTTAAAAGCACTTGAAATACTTCAGGACACAATCACCCTTCTTTACTGTCCCTTTAGTTACTATCACAACGTTTTTCAAACGCGTGATTATTGAACCAGTCAGAAAAAAGTCCAAATACATTTCATAAATAAGCATCCTAACTCACACAATGAACTTATTATTTGCTGTAGAATCTGTCATTGTGCGGCGCTAATATATCAACTAGTGAATGAAAAAATGAGCGAAAAGAGCTGTCAAACTCATAAAAGTGGCGATGAATGACACAACATAAGAGGAACCTTTATTTGTTGGCGCAGTGGTTGCAAGAACGTTGCCTCCCGATCCAGACCCTCCTATGATCCCGTTACACTTGTCTTCGAAACAGCAACTGGCCTCGCATTTCTTTATGGTCATTCCCGGATTAGTTATGTTGCAACCATCCCTCTTGGCTTTTTCACACATAGTCTAAAGTTCAGATAACGCAGTGATATTCAATAGGGGAACATGATAACTGATTCGTGAAACAAACATTATCTTGGCTCATCAGTAACAAAGGAGTGTCAAATCGTTAGTAACAATACGAGGAGGCAGTTAAACCAGGGAAATCTAGAATTCAAGACTTGTTCCCTAAATTAAACCATTCTAAAATGTATTTAAAACTTGACTGAACTCAGATTACCTTCATCGTACAAGCCATTGTATTCATAGTCAGAGTTTGCTCCGCCATGGACGTTTCTATGCTAATTTTGATGCATGCGTCGTACAACCCTTTAGGCAAACCTAAGGTATCACAGTCAGTGATATTTATATTTCCTGAAGTACACCTGGTCTCTGGTGGCTGTGAAGTGCATTGGTAGCAGCTTATGGCCAGAACTAAATCAAAAGAAAAACGAAAAAGGAAACTATTATCTAGTGGACTAATCATAGCGTTTATTTTCTCATGTCTTTCTCTTATCGTTGAACGCGATAAAATAAGAGAGAAAGGAGACCGTGGTCATGTTAGGAATCATCCTTGGGGACTCAGGGACAGCTAGTCTGGACGACGCGATATTTTTCGTGCGAAAGTCTACATCAAGAGCGGAAGAGCCCCTGCGCACTTACTCTTACCGAACAAGTTCCAGAAGTGTTTGAATTCCTTCTCGCTGATTGGCCAGAAATTTTTTTTTTCTCTAAATTCAGTCGGACGAACTCAGTTGAGTCGAACGTCGAAATTATCATGAACTTTTTTCGTCTCATGTGACGTTCGACGTTTGACTTGGCCTAAGATAGATGCGATCGTTCCAGAAAAAGTTGAGCGATCGAGCTCATTTTCTTAACACGGTACCAGTTTCCTAATGAAGGACGCGATCGCTTGGATCAAAACATCCACGCACTGCACTCTGGTACATTTCCCATCGCAACGTTTTTGAAACAAAATAACCCTAAAAACATGAAACATTTACGCAGCATGAAGGTACGAACTCGATCTAAGTTAATTAGCGCTGGGAAGATATAGGCAGCTGAAATTCAGACTATTAAAAAAAATCGGCCAGGCTATGCTTATTTACAAGTACAGCGTAATGTCTTTCATTCAGGAGCCCGATTAATTGCACATATGAAGAAGATCATAAACTCCCATATTATCGCAACCGAAACTGATCTATTTTAGCGAAAGTAGTGACAACATTCGCTAAGATAGATCTCGATTGCGATCATGCGGAAATCACTCCTCAGAACAGACAACGCGCTGGCTTTTGGGGGGACAGGGAGGGGAAAATGGCAGGCGTTATTTCAAACTCGTAGTCAACCCAGAGGGATTTTGTTTTTCATTGATTTGCATAATTATTCATCGGTTGGGCGACAATTGAGCGAGAACACTTCATCTGGTTTCTAAATTGCCAATGAAAATTTCGTTTCTTCGAATTAATAAAAATATACTGAGAAATTATTTGTTAATAAGCATATTAAATAGCTCCATAAAGTCACCACCACAAAGAAATTTTTGAATAATTACTCTTTGCTTCAATTTAAAATAGTTTAATTATTCATTTATTCTGATGAACAATTCTTTTGGACTGAGCAGCTGAAAATATTAACATCAAGATTTAGAAAATATTTGAAACCATGCAACGTAAATCGTATTCTTCTAGATCCGATGCGCACGAGAGACAAGTTAATTTTATATTTACTAGACATGGTGACGGTTTGCTTTGAGTGATAAAAAACACAGATTAAGTAATCAATTTTGAAAATTTTCAACAACATAGGCCTGCTTTCATCTGAATCATGTCTTCTTTCAGATATTGATAACAGGAGTTTAGTACCGAGATTCAATCGGAAATATGATTCTGTTTAGCTTCATAGGCTAAAAGCTTTTTATACCCTGATTCATTTTTCTCAACCTAAAAGTATGAACCAATTCTTTTATAACATAGCGCTAACAACCTGGGCGCTAAAACATGTTTTATTTGTGATTGACTACAAAGTTCTCACATTACACGGTGACATGGTGGATGAAAATAGAGAATCCTATTGGCGGGTTAAAACATGCCACGATCAG